ATTAAGCGAAGAAGAGCAAATCTATATATATATATATATACATCTATATTATATATACACACTTGGAAAGCGTATTTAATTATATATTCCTATACACGCGCAAGGAGTACATGTACAGGTATTTTAATAAGCTCGCGTATAACTAGTCACGACGTAAAGTGTGTTCCGAGGAAGAGAACGGGCTTCGAGGGGAAGACGGGAGCGAAGACAGAGGATAAGACTGCCTCTTCCCAGGCTCCCGCGTTTCCAAAGGCCGCAGGAGACCACGCGATTTCGCGAAGATTCGAGGTATTTTTTATGAACGCGAGCATCGACCGAGCGAGAACGGAGCGTGGCGTGCGTCGTGTCGAATTCGTCGGTCGAGGTTGACTCGGACTCCTCGAACGACGTGTCGAGCAAGGACGACGGACCCGCCGAGCAGAAGTTCATCCTGCGAAACGAGCTGTACAACAGCCTGCTGGCAAGCGCCCTCGGCAAAACGGTGCTCAACAGGCACCTGAACTTCAAGGAGCAGGGGATTAATTTTAATCTGGCCAATCTCAAGGATAACCTGAACGCGCTCGGCGCCCTTAAGGAGCTGAAGGATCTCAAGGGTCTGACCGTCAGCAGCGTGCCGGCTTTCCCGAGGAACCTAGCTCTGCACAGGGAGGACCACGATGAGGTCAGACTTTCCTCCCTTCACTCGACCTTCCCCCAAATTTCGCCCAATTTTCGCTTTTCCTTGCGTTTCCTCGCTCGTTTCCTCGCCTCTTTCGGGGGATTCGTTGACTGGAAGATTGGCGGGAGACGGGGGTCGAAGAGGGGTGGGTTTCGAACGTTGTTGATCTCTGAAAATTCTTAGCTCGAAACCTCGGAGTTCTCGCGTTGTTTCGGTATCCCCCTGATTGTGAATCATAATTATCGCCGAGAGCATCGCGACACCCTCGCTGGGGGGGTCCGTAACGCGCGATAGCACTCGGTGAAAAGTGGGAAACTTTCGCAGTAAACAGTTCCCCCTCTCTTTCTCTCTCTCTCTCTCTCTTCGTCGTTCCGAACTCTCGCGGCATCGAGATCGATAATCCCCGAAAGATTCCGCGTCTTCACTGACCTACCCCTTTTTCTCGCGATTCCGGCAACCCCCCGAACGCGGAGAAAAACAGATTCACAAATTCTCCGGGGTTCTGGAACGGTCGAAAATACTACGCGAGCGAGCGAATCGATCCTGAGCCTCGAGAATGCAACTTCGCCCCGAAAGATAAAGGGGAAAAAAGGGAGAAATGGGAAAGAAATATCGAGGGGGTAGAGCGGCGCAATCTCGGAGAAATTATCCAGCGTGCTCGACTTTTGGGAACAGACGGATCGAGAGTAGTTTGCGAAGAATCGCGAGACACTTGACGCATAAGTCTACGGTGGAGAAGTTAGCGGGTACTTAGGTGGGGTACCAGCTCTCGCGTAATGGGCGCGGAAAACAAGGGGGTTGCAGATGCAACAGAGAGAGATTTCGTAGTTCGTCGGGAGGAAAATCCTGTTTGCTTGACAATTACTTTTTCCACTACCATCCAATCGAGTCTTCGACTTTCCAACTGCTTTCTGGTAGCAGAGCGTGGTTGGTCCTTCTTCTCTCATATTTGTATCAATCCTTTCTCTTTCATTTCTTTCACTAATATCATATTTCTCATCTTCTTCTTCCTTTCATCGTTATTCTCAATGTTTTCGTTTTCTTCACAATTTAACAGATCCGACTCATCTTTTTCCTCATTAAATTTCACGTCGCAATCACATACAATAATTTTTGTTTCACGTATGTATACGCGACAAGTTTCGTTTTCGTTGTGGCCGTGAGTTTGTTGTATGACAATCGCATATTTATTATAAAATTGTAAATTACGCACGTCTTATATCGTAATTGTTCACTCTCACGCTTCTTATAACAAACTGAGCTTCTTTTTGAACATATCGACCCTGATCCACAGCAACTGCACATCACCACGCATTCTAGATCTTCCACTCGCACTTGTAAAAACATTCATATCTACATTCGTGCCATTACTCGACCTCACGCATTTGCATTCACACTAATAAAACCAAATCCACACTTTCTTCGCCCTCTCTTTCTACCCCTTGTCACTTTTCTCCTGTATCTAATTCTTTTGGTCGTAATAACGTGGTGGTGGGAAAAATGAGACAGGAAGGAGGAGAACAAGAATGAATAGATTTTACGGTTCTTCCAATTTTTGGAATCTCGTCGTTCTCTCCCGGTGTTCGTCCGTGTTCCTTTCTCTCGCCCCTTTGTCGGTTAATTCGCGCGATGAACGCGTGGCGTGCCCCGAAACGCGCCCAATTATACCGCAGCCAGTGTAAACAAGCCGGATTTAAAATTGGCGGCGGGACAGCGGGTTTCTTAGCCGGGGAAATTTTTCCGCGGCTTAATTCATTAATTTCTCGCCACGACCAGGGCTCTCCGCGTCGACTTCCTGTTGCTTCCTTTTGCTCCTGGCCGAGTTATCGCCGCGAGGCAACTTTTCTTGGCACGTTCGCGGTTTTGGCTCGGCTCGGTTGATTCCGCGACAACTCTTGACCCAAATCCATGACGCACTTTTCCCCAGTTTTTTCTTTTTCCTTTTTTTATTCTCTCCCCTTCTCCCCGCTTTCTTCCCCATCCAGACGCCGAAACGTCTCGGTGGAAACGCCACCCCAATTACCAGTTTCCCGTTCCACGAGCATTCTCTCCCCACCTTGTATTTCCGCGCGATAGAAATTACATGCCTTCACATGCACAGGTACTGCCCTCGAAATTTTGCCGCGCGAATTACGTTCTCGAAAATATTCCTAACCCCGAGACGCGGGGTGGCACGCGAGATTTTTTAACGAATCTCTGGCTCCGTTAGGGGTGCTTGAACAAAATTTCGCGGAATAAAAGTGTTCCACGTTTGGTTCTCGAATTTTATAGGTTCCTGCGTTCGAGATTTATGGGTTACGGGGATGAGAAGCGAAGAAGCGATCCCTTTAGGAAGGGGGTCGAAATGGCGAGGCCTTTGTTGGGAGGGGGTTGAAATAGCGACGCGGGTCGACTGGAGAACGCGTAATTAAGTGCGAGGCAGTAACGAGGCAATAACGAAACGCGTCACCCCCTTGGCCGAAGAAATAACAGCCCTTCGGGGACCCCGCAGGGATGGTCCTTTGAGGAACCAGCAATCCGACCTGCCGCTTCTAACGAGCTTTCTCACGATGCGTGTTAGACGATCGATTAGCGACTAAATCTACCCTCTCGTTAATTACCGGCCCGCTCGTTCCACGCAGTCTCAAAGCGCCGGTGAAAAGGCAGGACTCGAGTTCCTTCGGATCCGACGAGAAGTCGGCGAGGAAAGATTCTATTTTAACATCCACCTGGTAATTAACTCGCCGTTATCTATGCGACTCGTTTCTATTCGCTTCATCCAGCCACTTGGACTCGGTGGTTCGATATCGATTCAGAAAATCCTATTACTTCCCGCGGGAAGCTGCCAATCTTATCACTCGGGGATGATTTCGTCGGAGACGAGTGCGTTCCAAACCGCGTTAGCTTTCCATTATCGAAGCAGTGCTCGTCTCTTAATGGGAACAATTATAATCCCTGGATCCTCGATTCGTTTCGTTCACGGTTGCTCCTCTCACGGAATAATTCCTTATTCGGAGTACCTTTGAGACGAAAAGAAAATTTCGGAAAATTTTAATAGAATCGAGGTCGCGACGGAGAATGCAACAGAAGTGCGGATCTTAATAGGAACAATTATAATCAGTGGCTCCTTCATTTATTTCGTTCACGATTACTCCTTTGCCGGAATAATTCCTTATTCCGAGTACCTTTGAAGGGAAAAGAAAATTTCGGAAAATTTGAAAAGAATCTGGGACGCGACTAGGGGTGCAGAATCGCGGGATACGATTATCAGACCGGTGGAACGCGATAATTCCGCAGTTCGAAAAATCGGAAGTGACAATTTTTCACGGAGGGGTTAATTCGGTGGCCCAATCGGGGCCGTTTGGGGTCCCACGGCGACGTTGTAACCAGCGATCCGCGTTAGGGGTTGCGAGAGGCTATCGAGAGACGCGGCTAGGTCGCATTATTTCCGTTTGTTTCTATTTCCCGTTGCCGCGTTCAACGATATATCGATTCGCCATCATCCGACGTTTGCCTGTCGGCCATGAATTTCTCATGGCGAGCAATCGATGGCCGCGATCGTTGCGCAATTATGCACAGTCGAATCCACGGGGACGATTTATTCTGGAACGTCCGTTCCTCGGATTGCCGAGTGCTCGGTTCCCGGCTGGGATAAATGGATTTCTTAATCTTCTCCCCTGTCAATTACCCCCTCTCCCGGATTTTTTTCCCCCGTTCGCCTCCGTTCGCGGTTTCGGCAGCCCCCGACGGGGTTAATTCGCCGGGATTTATTCGGCGTCGGCCGAGAAACGTCCCGGAAGATTCCTCCCCGTGGCGAATATTACGCCTGGATGTTTAATAGCCGCGCAACGCCTCGAGTAAAATGTATCGTCGGACGACTTTGTCGCAAGCGGTGGTCCCGGTTTAGCCCGTTCAGGTGTCCGGGCGCCACGCTCGCTGATTTATCGATCAATTTATTAATGGGTCAGCTCTTCTCGTGCGTTCGATCATGAATATCCGATGAAGCAGCCCGGACAGACGAGCGAGCCTCATAATTACCGTGATTAATGCTCGGAGCGGGATTAATCGCCTGGCCGGGCTTATTCTCGAAAATCGTTGGCCCGCGGAAAAATTGGCTAACCGGTCTCCCCCGTTTCTTTTCCTTTTACCCCTCGTGCTCTCCTTCTTTTTCCGCGTGGCCCCCCGGGGCTGCCTCGTCTTGCCGTTTCGCGAAATTTTTTCGAAAAATCGACAGACGCTCGCGCAACAAGTAGAACGAAATCTCTCTCTCTCTCTCGGCCACCAGTCTGCTCGTACAGGTGGAGCGTTTAATCTCGCGGATCGATCGGTCGCCAATTAACCCGGTTGCTTTTCTATCCCGCAGAAAGCCTCTTTCGCGTGGTCCGAGGGCGGCGAAGAGGGCGGCGGGGGTGGCGGAGGCGGCGGTGGAGGTGGAGGCGGCGGCGGCGGAGGTACGGCTGGCACCGGAACCGGAAGCACGGGCCCAGCCGCCACCGGAGGCGGTGGATTGGCCCATTGGGTCAGCGTGATGGCGGAACACATCCACAATCCACACTCGGCCACCGGGGTGGGCGGTGTCCATCATCAGCAACAGTCACCCCCTCAACCACCCTATCCATGGAACAACGGACTCTCCGGCGATGTGAGTACCCTCTTTCACTCTACGAATTTTCCATCGTCTTCGCGTTCCTTCACGCGCGGCTAAATCTTCGCCTAACGAGATATCGGCAACCGTTCGCCGGGGGTGCAAGCTCGCCCGTCTATGGCCGGTGTTAATTATCGCAGATTAAACAGAGGGTGCGCGTCGCGGATGATAATTGGCGAAAATTGCGCGATAGGAAAACATCGCGGCGCGCACAGCGGCGGAAAAAGAAGATCGCTTTACAGCCGTGAATATTAATTGGTACGGTGGACCTCGACGGAGGGAAAGCGTCGTAAAACTCGCAATCTCCGTCGCGATCGACCGCCGAAAACATTCCGCGGACCACCGGTTCCCACGATTTCTTCGGCACCGGCTCGTCTGCCCATCGCCGTTCCGCGTAATCTCCGCTTTAAATCTCGCAAATTCGCCCCGATCTCCGGCGTGGAATTAACAGTCGAACTCGAACGAACGCGTACCCGCGGCCACGCAAACTTTCCCGCCTGCGAACTCGCCGAGACGGCGGAGCGTCGCGCCGCGACGAAATAATTCCGGGATTAATTTTATACGCGACGTATTACGATTATTACGAGGCAGGGCTCGGTTAATTGGCGACAAAGAGGCCGGCTGGAACGGCCGCGCCCCGTCGGCCAACTTTTACGACGAGGCTCGTTTCTTCCGCTGCTTACTTTTATATTCGATAAGCGTTTTAAACTCCTTCCCAACCGGATGTCTTTATCCCGCGCGGAGTCTGCTGTGCCCGGACAGCTTAAAGTGGCAACTCCGCGCCACTTTCCGTCTTATCTGCCTTCGTTTATCTCCGTTTCTTACGCGTACAGGTGTAAACTCGCTCTCGCGCCAATAATCCTGCGATTGGCTCGATCGGTCTCTGAAAATTCCACCGATTCGAAGGAGGAACCGGCGAATCTCCTCGAGGGGTGGTTCTCGGAATCGAACGGTTCTTTGGCGTGGAAAAAATTCCACGGGAAGACAACGGTTCTCTAACGGACGAGATTAAAGAGCGAGTGGATGAGGGGGAAATGGAGAAAGGAGAAACGACGAGCATTAAAATCGCCCGGAAGACGAGACACCGTTAAACTCGCGACGACGTCGACGAGGAAATGCGCGAAAAAAAAAGAAAAAGGACGTACCCCTTCTTTTTTCCCAGCTTTTTTTCGCTCTTTTTTTTTAAACCGAGAACGAACGGGTTACCCCTGTTTTAATTTTATTTTCCGCGCACCCCTCTCCCGGTCGCCGTGTCTCCGGACGAGAATCCTGCATAATTTCGACGAGCCTGGATCGGAAGGCGGCCGAGGTTTAGGAAGAAAAGGACGCGCGGAGAAGACAAAGAGGTGGTTGGGTGCCGGGCGAGGAAGAACAAAGAGGAAAGTGACGTGGAGGGGCGCTCGGAAGGGTTGAAGATCGCTTTGCATACTCCTCGCTCCGCCCCGAGCTGCTGGAAAAAAACAAACAGACGGAAGCGCGAAAAAAATGTTCACGAGACAACAGGGGGAGAGGGTTCATTTGAATGCGCGCGGATTCGAAGAGGTCTCTCGCCGTTAAGGGTGAATCTCTCCTTCCGACGCAACGGAACCCGAGGGTCTTCCCTTTTTCCGCTTTTTTTCCATCGACTTTGGTCCCCGTCTTCGACTCTCGTGCCCTTTTTCGGCAATCTCACGGATTTTCTTCTGTTCCTAATACTCTTCTTCTTTCGGGATCGTATCTCTCGTCTTCCTCAATTTTCTTCCCTCGTCTCGCGAGTGAAGTTACGTTCCTCGGTATCGGTGCAAGAAATTCGCGGAATTGCGTATTCGCAACGCAGACACTCGTTGTCTACCCTGCTGGAGGATGAAGGCATCCGCGATCTTTCTTTGTTATTCTTCGTTACAACTGCTACACCGCGCGGATGTAACTTCCTCTTTGCAAGTTAACCGTTTGAACTCGAGGCAGTATTCTGGGGCACTGGAATACGGGTAACGCTGGAATATTTAATTATATGTCGAAGGAATATTAGCGGGAAAGGTGTTATCGAGGATAATTGCTGCAGAAATTAATTTTTCTTCGTGTAGACGAAAGGAGGGTAGAAAAGTGTCTAATAAGTGATACGGTACTGTCCAAATTCCTATATAATTCGCATATAATGCAAATAAGACGAGCGTAATTGCTAGAAAAATTGGTGCAACTTGAGAATAGAAAAATATTTAGATAATTCGGTACTCTCCAAATTCCCATATAATTCGCATATAATTCAAATAAGACGAGCGTAATTGCTAGAAAAATTGGTCCAAGATGAGAATAGAAAAAATAGAAAAATATTCATAAAAGTATTTATTTAGGTAATTCGGTACTGTTCAAGTTTCTATATAACTCGTATCGTAATACAAATAAGATGATCGAAATTGCTAGAAAAATTGGTGCAACTTGAGAATAGAAAAATATTTAGATAATTCGGTACTCTCCATATTCCCATATAATTCGCATATAATGCAAATAAGACGAGCGTAATTGCTAGAAAAATTGATCCAACTTGAGAATAGAAAAACATTTATTCGGTGCATATTACGTGTTTGAAAATTAGCTTTATTTATCCCAAAACACCAAACTATCCGTTTAAAATCACGAAAAGTAACGTCGCGTTGGCTCTATCGGTTTCACCCCTGGCCGAACAATGGCGGCAATCAGATAGTACCCTGCACCGTTTAAGAAACAAAGCCGAGAGGAAGTATATCCCAGCGAACGTATCGCAAGGTGCTACGGATCCGAGTTGGAAGCAACGAATGACCGGTCATGGTGCCCAAGGGGTGGGTTTAGGTCGTCGAGGGCCGCTGGATACGGAAGACGCATCCGTGTGCCCCGTGCACGGATCAGCCGGTTTTATTTCTTCGGCACCGGCTCGTCTGCCCATCGCCGTTCCGCGTAATCTCCGCTTTAAATCTCGCAAATTCGCCCCGATCTCCGGCGTGGAATTAACAGTCGAACTCGAACGAACGCGTACCCGCGGCCACGCAAACTTTCCCGCCTGCGAACTCGCCGAGACGGCGGAGCGTCGCGCCGCGACGAAATAATTCCGGGATTAATTTTATACGCGACGTATTACGATTATTACGAGGCAGGGCTCGGTTAATTGGCGACAAAGAGGCCGGCTGGAACGGCCGCGCCCCGTCGGCCAACTTTTACGACGAGGCTCGTTTCTTCCGCTGCTTACTTTTATATTCGATAAGCGTTTTAAACTCCTTCCCAACCGGATGTCTTTATCCCGCGCGGAGTCTGCTGTGCCCGGACAGCTTAAAGTGGCAACTCCGCGCCACTTTCCGTCTTATCTGCCTTCGTTTATCTCCGTTTCTTACGCGTACAGGTGTAAACTCGCTCTCGCGCCAATAATCCTGCGATTGGCTCGATCGGTCTCTGAAAATTCCACCGATTCGAAGGAGGAACCGGCGAATCTCCTCGAGGGGTGGTTCTCGGAATCGAACGGTTCTTTGGCGTGGAAAAAATTCCACGGGAAGACAACGGTTCTCTAACGGACGAGATTAAAGAGCGAGTGGATGAGGGGGAAATGGAGAAAGGAGAAACGACGAGCATTAAAATCGCCCGGAAGACGAGACACCGTTAAACTCGCGACGACGTCGACGAGGAAATGCGCGAAAAAAAAAGAAAAAGGACGTACCCCTTCTTTTTTCCCAGCTTTTTTTCGCTCTTTTTTTTTAAACCGAGAACGAACGGGTTACCCCTGTTTTAATTTTATTTTCCGCGCACCCCTCTCCCGGTCGCCGTGTCTCCGGACGAGAATCCTGCATAATTTCGACGAGCCTGGATCGGAAGGCGGCCGAGGTTTAGGAAGAAAAGGACGCGCGGAGAAGACAAAGAGGTGGTTGGGTGCCGGGCGAGGAAGAACAAAGAGGAAAGTGACGTGGAGGGGCGCTCGGAAGGGTTGAAGATCGCTTTGCATACTCCTCGCTCCGCCCCGAGCTGCTGGAAAAAAACAAACAGACGGAAGCGCGAAAAAAATGTTCACGAGACAACAGGGGGAGAGGGTTCATTTGAATGCGCGCGGATTCGAAGAGGTCTCTCGCCGTTAAGGGTGAATCTCTCCTTCCGACGCAACGGAACCCGAGGGTCTTCCCTTTTTCCGCTTTTTTTCCATCGACTTTGGTCCCCGTCTTCGACTCTCGTGCCCTTTTTCGGCAATCTCACGGATTTTCTTCTGTTCCTAATACTCTTCTTCTTTCGGGATCGTATCTCTCGTCTTCCTCAATTTTCTTCCCTCGTCTCGCGAGTGAAGTTACGTTCCTCGGTATCGGTGCAAGAAATTCGCGGAATTGCGTATTCGCAACGCAGACACTCGTTGTCTACCCTGCTGGAGGATGAAGGCATCCGCGATCTTTCTTTGTTATTCTTCGTTACAACTGCTACACCGCGCGGATGTAACTTCCTCTTTGCAAGTTAACCGTTTGAACTCGAGGCAGTATTCTGGGGCACTGGAATACGGGTAACGCTGGAATATTTAATTATATGTCGAAGGAATATTAGCGGGAAAGGTGTTATCGAGGATAATTGCTGCAGAAATTAATTTTTCTTCGTGTAGACGAAAGGAGGGTAGAAAAGTGTCTAATAAGTGATACGGTACTGTCCAAATTCCTATATAATTCGCATATAATGCAAATAAGACGAGCGTAATTGCTAGAAAAATTGGTGCAACTTGAGAATAGAAAAATATTTAGATAATTCGGTACTCTCCAAATTCCCATATAATTCGCATATAATTCAAATAAGACGAGCGTAATTGCTAGAAAAATTGGTCCAAGATGAGAATAGAAAAAATAGAAAAATATTCATAAAAGTATTTATTTAGGTAATTCGGTACTGTTCAAGTTTCTATATAACTCGTATCGTAATACAAATAAGATGATCGAAATTGCTAGAAAAATTGGTCCAAATAGAGAACAAACAAATATTTAGATAATTCGGTACTCTCCATATTCCCATATAATTCGCATATAATG